ACCTGGGACCTCCCTAACAGTAAACGCTGTATGTCCGCCAAGATTCAGTTAGGCAAGGAAGGCAACCTTGTGTTTCCATACAAGAGCTCCTGCCTAACTTCGGCTACTATTTAAAAAAGAAGAAAAAGATAATTCTTTAAAGTTAAAATAACTTTCTGTGGAGGATATTTCTAGGATAAAATTTTTGAGTATTAAGGTCTGAGCATATGGTGTCTAAAAAACTACGACCCCCTCAGAATTCCTCCTAAATTAGGTCAAAGTTATAGAAGCCTATTCAAAGATTAAACTGGGGAAATTGCTCCCTCTGGTGGTGATACACAATTCTATACAAGATTGTGACCTGAGGGTTTTGTTGCTTTGTTTTACTTAGGACCTTCAAAAAAATACGAGTTTGAAAAATTTTAACTATTTTTTTAAGCTTTTTAAATAAATAACTTTGTGTTCCTTTTCTTTGATAATACTGTGGTTATTGTAGAATGAATGACATCATTTCCCACTAAAACTTAGATGGTTAAGGATTTATGATATAGTTATTTCACCAAAAAATTTAAAAGTGATTTTACATCTGCCATTATCAAAATTATCATTATATATATAACTGGTAGCCATATAATTTGCTTCTCATAATCCTTATAAAATTAAAAATTGTGTGGACCTAATGTAATCATTCTACTTGGACCTGGTGAAGTTTTAGAAGCATAATATTTCTATAATAATTATTAATATACTTGAATTGATTATCAATATTAATCTAGTCATAATTATGAGATTATTAATAAACTTTAAGGACTTTGGACTAATACAATACTGAGACAATAAGTATTTCTATCTAAATATTTTTGAAAAACTAGAGATCATTAAAATGAGTTGTGATCAAGGAAGATAACACTAGTTTATATTGGGGACTGGATCTAAGTTAAAAATCTAATATATTTTATATATACATACATATACATATACAAATAATGCACATATATGTAGTTTTGACCAATGAAATTAAAAACTAAAAGGATTTTAGATACAACTTCAAAAATTTGTTCTTGTCTATATTTCCCTTTCATTTATCATATGAAATTATCCCTAAAGTTATTAGATACCCTCCCTGATTTCTCCCTGAGGCTAGAACAGAAATGTTTCCTTTCAGTTTATTGGTATAATACTGATAGGAACAGTTTTCGGGATAAATACAATGCAAAATAAATGCCAAGACATTTTCACTAAGAATGAAAAAAATGCCTAGTTCTCACACAATTCCCATGAATTCTACACGTATGAGTACTTTCCAAAGTAGAGAACCCACTACTTCCTAAAACCCACAATGAAAAATAAGGAAACAAATCTATTGTGGGCATTATCTTAACAAATGATTGAATAACATTTAATCATTGCACTCGTTGGACTGGACTAGATTATTCTTCAACCTAGATTGGTTAGGTTGAAGAACAAGCTTCTCTTCTCCTCCCTACCCCACCTCAGTGGCTCAGGCCCACAAAAAACGTACTTCTTACTCATACCTTAATTCTGATGCAAAGTGGGCTCTGCTCCTCAAAGACACAGAGGGACCCAGCTGATAGGGCTTCCACGACCACTTTAGAGAAAAGGGAAACACGGTGTGTCCTGTGCTGTTTGTTCCTTAAAGCCTCCCTCTAGGTGGGATGTGTTTCTGCTTATACTCCATTCATTAAAGCAAATCACAAGACTGTGCCGAACTGCCAAGGGTGAGGGGCAGCTAGGGAAACAGGACAGTGATGAGAAGAGGCTGAATACTTGCAAACAGCCCTAAAGTGACCCGTTGTTCCATAAAAATGTCATTAAAATATGGAATGGCAAGACGATATGTGCTGCGTTGTTTTAAAATTAAGAAAATACTTTTAACAAGCAAAAACAAAGCTCATGAAAGAGGGAAATCTAATTCACATGTTTTCATATCAACATACATATCGTATGAAAATGACAGTAAAGTTGAATTGGATACAACAAAAAGTGCACTTGAAGATCGCACACGTTATTGTTTTGTTCTGTCTGGTTTGGTCCTTGCCATTAACCTTGATACCAATTTGCTGTTGTGTCACAGTGAATAGCCAATAATTCTGAAAGTCCACTTGTAAATTTATATTATATTCCTTTTTTTTTTTTTTTAATTTGAGCTGGAGTCTCACTCTGTCGCCCAGACTGGAGTGCAGTGGTTGCTCCTGGACACCGCAGACTCGACCTGCTGGGCCCCGGCGATCCTTCCGCCTCAGCCTTCCAAGTAGCCGGAATTACAGGCATGTGCTACCACGCCCGGCTGATTTTTGGATTTATTGTAGAGATGAGGTCTCGCTGCCCAGGCAGGTCTCGAACCCGCAGGCTCAGGCAATCCACTCACCTCAGCCTCCCAAAGGTGCGGGATTACAGGCTGAGCCACCGAGCCCAGTTTATATTATATTCCAATGACATCACCCAGACTTCTGCTGCTATCAATAGTGAGTGTAAAGTGAGTCTGTTCAATGGAGACTCCTACTTATTAACATGTTCAGAAAACCACACATTGAGCCACCGACTGTGGACCCGCTGAAACTAAATGAAAGACTCATGATCGCACCGCTCACTGTATCCCCCTCAGCTCATAGTTCGGACTTGTAGAGCCAATGTCACCATCCTGCTGTAGCAAAATGCTGCTGTGAAGTAAGGACTGGTAGCAAAACCACCGAGGAAAACACTGTCAGCTGATAGAGCATTCGTTCTCTTGAACTGAAAATTAACACAAATGGGTGTCAGGGAGAGTTTATAAGACCAAAACAGGTTTAAAAATTATTATAAGCAGTGGTATGCTGGAGCCAACTTGCCCTGGCTCACAAAAACTGAATGCGAGCATCTCTTTCCAGCTCCACATTCAGTGACACCATGTTGTTAGCTTGAAACCAACTATGGTGAGGGCATTTATACTACAGAAATTGGTGATTGTTATGAATCACATGTTTTCTCTTTTAGTTACATTCTATTGACCTCAAGTACACAAATCAATCAGACAAGTGAAGAAAGACTTCATTCTAATGTATTATTATTATTATTATTATTATTATTATTATTATTATTTTGAGACAGATTTCCCAGACTGGAGTGCAGTGGCAAGATCACAGCTTACTGCAGCCTCAAAGTCCTGGCCTCAAGCAACCCTCCTGCCTCAGCCTCCCAAAGTGCTGGGATTACAGGTGTGAGCCACCATGCCCAGCCCATTCTAATTTAAATGCAGGTGCTGTCTCTAGTTAGGATGGTGTGAAGAAGTAATCAGTTTCCAGTGATATTCAAGTCTAATTAGAAATCCCTCTTGAATTCTATAATTCAAAGATCCCTCTTAATCTTCCAGGAACTTAATCCTCAACACAAAGTATATAAAGACACAAAAATGTAGAAAGGGTGTGAAATAGCCATTATTTAAGCATGGAATCTTAATTTTATTGTAAGAAAAGGGATTTGTTCACTTACATGAACTGTATTAATCTGACTCATCACTACAGAAATGATGCAGGCTCCTCTTTAAGTCAGAAAATTCCAAAACGTCTCTGTCTACTTTCCTACTTTATGGACCATACGGGTACAACAAAAGTCAGGGCCAGAGGGTTTCAGTCCAAGCACGTCTGAAGCCTGTTTTCTGACTTATTTATAAAACAAAGAATAGAAGAATCTTCAGTAAAATTTTAACTACACAGGATCTCTGTAGGGTGTGACAACTTGATCTAAATTTCTTTATTTTCTATATTTTATACATTGCTACATTGAGCAGTTTCAATTTAAAAAGTTAAAATTACCCTTGAAAGCTTTTTTTGGTTGCTGTTTTCTGTTTGAATTTGTGGACATGATAGCAGCTTTTTAAGTTACAGTCATGCTTGGACAGCAGTCAGTTTGGGTGAAAAATTTCAGGGTCATAATGTTTATTACACTTCATCTCCCTCTCTCTTGGCATCAGTTACTCAGAGAAGAGTCCTGCTTAATTCAATTCCTTTGAAAGAAACAAGTCATTTTTCTCCCTGTTTGTTTAGCAGCAGGAATCTATTTAAATTTTAAAAATTTCACTTAGAAACTTCCTAATCTTGGTCTTATTTCATGTTTTTCTTGCCTATGTTGAACTCTCTCAACCTCCAATTTTAGATTTCTTCTCAGATGTGGAAAATGTTTTCTAAAATATCCTTCTAAATCTTTATGATTCACTGCTCCATTTTGTACTTTAAGAACATCTCTTATTCGTAGATTGGATTTCTGTGATTTGTCCTCCCGTAGGTGTCTTGGCTTTTCAAAATTCCTTTCACATTTGAGTCTGTGTCTCGAGTGAATCCTCTCCACTATTGATTTGAACTTTACTGTCATGTCTGCCTTTTATTGCTTCTAATGGGAGCTGCTGGATTTTTTTTCTTGTTTCTTCACTACCTCTAACTATGTTTCCTTTTTAAAATCTAAGTCTCTTCTTGTTTAATGGTGGCATTGTCCTCTCAAGTTCTTTCTGGGGTCACTCCCTGCTCCGTGAGCTCCCAGGTCATGTCTGCAGCGATCTTGAGGGCAAGCGCGGGGTGTGGCTGTGCTGGTGATGAAGAAGAGTTGTGTCCCAAGTCGGCAAAAGCCAAGAGAGACTGGGCGGGGATGAGCAGAACAGGATGTAGAAACAACACATCCTCACAAAACCCCTGAAAGTGAGACATGGTTATCTCAACCTGTCCCTCTGTGGGCCTGACTCTCTTCACCACACCCAACAGGATGGGATCGAAGAAGGGCCTCAGGAATGCTTTTATTTACACTGAAGTGTTTTTCTCATTACGATCTTGTGAAGTTGAAAAGATAACTGTCCTTATCCCCAGAGAAGAGGAAAGGGGAGAGCACCCCTTAATGGAAAAAACCACTAGACTCGCACCTCCCAGGAATGGCCTCACATCCTGTTGTGCAACCTTCCGGAGCTTACGTCAGTGTGGTGCCTTGTAGCTGTTCCCGGAGCCCATAGCAGCAGTTGGAGTTGGCACGCAGGAAGGATGAGGAAGGCCGGACTCTGGGGGCTGCTGTGGATGCTCTTTGTCTCAGGTAAGGCAAGGAAGAGGTGTGAGCAGGTGAGGCTTCTGGTCCAGGACCTCAGGAAGCCCTTCTTTGAAGTTCCAGATCACGTGGCCATCCAAGATAGAGCCAGCTGGTAGTTACGTCAGACCCGGTTGCTCTACCCAAACTTAGCAGAACCAGGAGAACGTACAGGGTGGGGGTACAGAAATGTTCAAGGAAAATTAGGAACGTGAAATGTCTGTGCCTTTTGAGGTTGTCAGGTATGCAAAGTCCTGCATGGGAATAATGATAGGGTAAATCTAACTGTGGCATGATCTAAAATAATTGTATTTGATGTTGATTTTTTTTTTCTTATTTTCCATGAAGATGCTTTAGATGTTGACAGTCTGGTAAAAGACATTTTTTATTTAACAAAGTTTGGTGGCTCATGCCTACAATCCTAGTACTTTGGGAGGCTCACAACAGAGGATTGCTTGAGCTCAGGAGTTTGAGACCAGCCTGGGCAACATAGCAAGACTCCATCTCTTAAAAAAAAAAAACAGAAAGAAAAATTAAAAATGACCCAGCTACTTGTGAGACTGAGGTGAGAGGCTTGCTTGAGTCTAGAAGGTCAAGGCTGCAGTGAGCTATGATTGTACCACTGCACTCCAGCCTGGGCCACAGAGTGAGACCCTGTCTCAAAACAAACAAGCCCACAGAAACCAAAAAAATTTCCTAAGGCATACTATGAGACAGTAAATATGCTACTGCTGTGTTCACAGACGTGACCAGAAGAGGCTGGTGCCCACTTTTTCTTTGGAGGAGGCTGTCACCCCAACTCTCTGCCATATGCTGGGTTGAGGGCACTGTGACTCAGGCTCTGCAGAGTCCTGGCCCTTACGTCTGTCCTCTCATATTCCACACGACCCAGATGTGCACTCGAGATGGAAGCATGGAGGGTCTAGTCACTCCTCTCAAGCCTTAGGAATAAGAGAGGGAAAATGTCAACATGAGTTAAAAGTAAGGGATCCCTTGGGAGGAGATGAAAGGTCGAGAAGAGGTGTTCCCCTGGGCCCCACTGCTTTGAGCAAGGTCCTGTGGATCAAAGCCTAAGGACAATTGCCTTGCAGAATCTACTTTGGGTCTCCTTGGGGATCATCTATGTGGGCAGGCAGGTGGGAGTTAGGTTTCCTTAGCCAGTACATTCCCTTGTGTTTTATTCATGTTTTTCTGAAGGAGGACTAGGGGATGACAGTGGTTGAGGCTTGTATACTTGTGCGAGTGGTATATATTTCATTGTGCCCTGTGGGGCTGGGTTAGGGGTTCACCTAAGAGCTTCTTCCAGCTAGCCGCCTATTCATGCTTGGGCTAGGACCCCTTTAATCCCTATTGGACAGCTGTGTTGGCCAGTGTAACTCAGAGGTTTAGATAGAATCAGATGTTTTTGTTTTGAATTCTGGCTCTACCACTTACCTGCTGTGAGATCTTGGGCAAATCATGTAACTTTCCTATGCCTTAGTTTCCTTATCTACAAAATCGGAAGAATAAGGGTGTCAACCTTTTAAATTATAAAGAATAAATAAGACAGTCTTTTAAAACGCTTAGCACAAAATACCCAACAGTATTTGTTTTTATTATTATTATAATTTTTTTTTTTTTTTAGTCAGAGTCTTACTCTGTCACCCAGACTGGAGTGCAGTGGCATGCTCACGGTCACTGTAGCCTCAACCTGGTGGGCTCAGGTGATCCTTTTGCCTCAGCCCTCCAAGTAGCTGGAACTACAGGTGTGGTGGTGCACCACCACACCTAATTTTTAAATTTATGGTAGAGATGAGGTCTTGCCAAGTTGTCCAGGCTGCTCTCGAACTCCTGGGTTCAGGCAATCCTCACACCTCTGCCTCCCAAAGTACTAGGATTACAGGCATGAGCCACTTCACCCAGCCCCCCCTTTTATTTTGAGTTGGAGTCT